GGCCGCTTATTATAATATTATAATTTGATTATAATGTGCTTGGTGTGGTTTTATTCCTGTGTCTAAAATTTCATTGAGCTTCTTGGGTCTCTGGGTTCATAATTTTTATCACATGTGAAAAACTCTTCAGACATTATCTCTTCAAGTATGTTTTTGTTTCCTCTTTCTGGAACTCCAATTATACAGTTTATATAAAGCTGTCTAAAGTTGTCCCACAGCTCACTGATCCTTTTTATTATCTTTTGATTCTGTTTTATTTTGGACAGTTTCTACTGTTAAATCTTTAAGTTCGCTACTCTTTTCATTTGCAATGTCTAATCTGCTCTTAATTCCATCTAGTATATTTTTCATTTTCGACACTGCATTTTTTAACTCTAGAAGTCTGACTTGGGTCTTTTATATTAGTGCCTTCTTAATCTTTTCATGCTTCCCTCTGCCTTTTTGAACATATGGAGCATTTATGTTAATGTCCTTGTCTACTAATTCTTTCATTTGTGCCATTTCTTGTTTTGTTTTTACTGATTCTTTTTACCCTCATCTGGAGTGTGGTTTCTACATTTTTAAAATCTTACAATTTTTCATTTGATGACAGACATTGTGAATTTTACGTTGTTGGATGCTGGATTTTATTTTTAGTTTTCTAAGCACTTTCAAGTTTCAATCTGAGACAATTATTTGGAAATAGCCTGGTCCTTTGGAGACTTGATTTTATGCTTTCCTAGGCTAAATCAGAACAGCCTTTCATCTATGGCTGATTTGTCTCCACTGCTGAGGCAGTTTCCTTTACTGTACTCAATTCAATACCTCCAGATACTACAGGGTTCTTCCACTCAAGATGTTGGGAATGTAAACTAGTTCCACCCTTGTGTGAACTACCAAAAATGTTCTGCTGGCTTCGCCCAGTGGTTCATTCCTCAGTAGGGGTAGTTTCCCCACATGCACGTTCTGATCAGTACTCAGCTTAAGGCTCAGAGAAATTCCCTGAAGATCTCCAGAGCTTTCTTCATACACTCACTGCACTCTTGTACTTTGCTCTGAAAATTCTAGCTGCCTTGTTTCCCCAGAATTTTCAATTCTGACTCCCCAACTCAGGATGGCTGCTGGGCTGTGTGTGAACTCTGTTCAGAGAAGTCACAGGTCCAGTCCAGATTCAAGTAGAGGGGATTACACAAAAGTGGGGGGCAGAGATCATTAGGTACCCTCTTAGAGGCTGCTTACCACAGATGCTATATTCTATCATGTCTGAGAATGCTTGTCATGTACTTATAAATCTTGTTTATCAAATGTTTCTGGCTTTCTATCTTCTGGAAATTACAATTCCTGACCCCCTTATGATTACTTAGAGCCCATGTGACTAGTTTTGGCCAGTGAGTTAACTGCAGTGTAAGATCCTCTTTCTGCCACAAAAGCCAAGAACGTACGAAATAGTGGTAGCTCAGCGATCTGGGTGCCAGAGTGAGGAAAACATAAAGCATAACCATAGATACCTCCCAAAAGACATGAATCATGTGCCAAAAAATAAAAATAAACCTTTATTGTTTTACATCACTGAGATTTAGGAGTTAGTTGTTTTCATAACTTAGCAACATTTATCATGATTTATACAGACTTAGAACTGCCATAACAAAAATCTAAAATATGTCACTAGGATAGTGGTCAGGCAGCAGGTGACAAGGAAACTGTCACTGGAAACTGAAAGGATAGTTACTTATGTTATTAGAAGAAAGCATATTAGAAAAAAAAAAAAACTTTGAAAAACTCTTGTGATAACCTAGAAGACAGATGATTTACTAATGAACCTGAATTCCACGGGAAGAGGTTAGAAGGCAATGTTGGTAACACGTTGGTTGCTATGGGTGTGTTTGTCAAGTTATATGAAAGAGAGATGGGCTCAGAAATGCAGTGTGCCAACAGGAATAAAAACAGATAGAGCCCTCACAAACTCTAATGATACTTAAGTCACAACTTGGAAAATTAAAGGAGTATAATTTGCTTGGAACACATTGTATGCCCCTCAGAACTTTGAAACAGGCTTTCAATGTCGTCCACTACTGAATGTGCTATATAGGATTCTAACAAACCCCAACAGTTTTTTCTCTACCACTACCATCCTTCCACTGCCACTTCTGTTTCTTGCCTGGTACCCAAAGAGTTCTTTTATTCTGAAAATTGAGTAGCTTAACCAGGATATATCCTCATGTTGACTGTTCTAAAGAAATTTTTCCATGGATTCTGGTATATCCTCTTTTTATTGAAGTATAATTAACATACACTACTATATTAGTTTTAGATATTTCTATACATTACTCAGTATTCATCATTATCAGTGTACTCTATTTTTTCTATAATCCTTAGTCCTGTATTCTTTTAATCTGGAGATTTTCTTTCCTTTATTATTTTTATATCAGTAAGGACATTTCTTTTTTTTTTTTTTTAGAAAGATTAGCATATTGTTTTTTTATTTATTTTTATTTTTTTTACAAATAGTTTATTGTCAAATTAGTTTCCACATAACACTCAGTGCTCATCCCCAAAGTGCCCTCCTCCATGCCCATCAGGACATTTCTTCTTCCAGTTGCTGTGTTCTCTATTCAGGGGCACTTATTAATCTAATGTTGATCCATCTTTGTCTCTTTCACATATATTATCTTCTAAGAGCTTTAATACCTTTGTCTTTTGCCTCAGTATTATCTGTGATTATCTCAAACTTCTCATCTACATCAGTAATTCGATTTTCAGCTCTCTGAAATCATGCTCTACTTCCTCATGCTTCTAATTCTTCATATCTAAGACTAGTTCTTCCACTTACAGGTAGAATTTGAAAATTAAATTATTTTTTTTCACTGTGTTTGTATCAGAGGAGGTATACCAGAACTCCGCTAGAGCTATGTTTAGCTTCCCTGGATGGCCTGGGTTCTGCTTGCTTTACTGAGCTTGCTGAATATCTTAAATGAGGTCTCAATCCATCTAATTAGGAGTGTATTCAACTCCAGGATAAGCTCAAATATATGACTTAGATGTGGACTCCTGGAAAATATAAATCCTAAAAAGTTCATCTGCTACTAAGGTCCAGAAATGGCTGGTATACAAGGTTCTGCCTTGATTCTTAAGCAGAATTCTCTTAGTCTGATTCTCTCCAGACTGAAGTTATGAGACTTGTTAGAACTGTTGTTGTAGTTAGGACTTTCTTAATTTAACTTGTTCCCATGTATGACCTGTGGGGAATAATGACTTAGACCTAACCACCATATGAGAGATAGAGCTCTGAGCGGTGCCTGGGTGGCTCAGTCAGTTAAGCGTCCGACTCCAGCTCAGGTCATGATCTCATGGTTCATGGGTTCAAGCCCTGCATTGGGCTCTGTGCTGACAGCTAGCTCAGAGCCTGGAGGCTGTTTTGAATTCTGTTTCTCCCTCTCTCTCTGACCCTCCCTTTCTCTCTCTCTCTCTCTCTCTCTCTCTCTCAGAAATAAATAGATTTTTTTAAAAAGAGAGAGAGAGAGATAGAGCTCTGAGAGGACAGGATACCAGATGAGCCAACACCATAACTCACTGGCATAGACCTACTTCCATCACTGCCTACAAACTGGACCAAACTTTGCAAATTCTGAAAGCCCCAGACTTTGAGACTTCAACATCAAGACCTTAAGTCAAGTGTTGGAGGTTCCAGACTGCACCTCCACCACTAACTCCAGGCTCACCAATAAGCAGTTAAGAGAAAAATTCAGCAATTGCAGAACATTCCTGATTAAAAGTTGCCTATTAATCACCAGAGATGTAAGTACTATTTTTCACTAAGGTGAAAAATATCCAAATGGAAACAGGAGAAAGCCTCAGCACCATAAGCCACCCATTGCAATTTCAAGCCTACCAGGCATTAGAGAAATGTAGTAACAACTAATTATTGGTCTTCGTGGAGGAATAAGGTGTTCCAATAAAACAAATATTGTAAGTTACCATCACCACACACTAATTGCCCATATAATTTAACTTTGTTTTTAATGGAGATGGCTTCCTACGATTTTGTAGTTCCTCAGAATTTTTGTAGAAAAATTAATTTCAGTAAAGAAGTGCTGGAGTTCTTAATTGAAATCTGTTCTAAAAAGATCAATAGGAGTTCAGAGTATTTTTCAATGTTTGACAATTTTCAGTACTTGGTAATGTTCAGGAATGCCTGATATCTTCTCCTTCCTTGAATCTAGTTTACATAAAGCAAATGCCTAGTTTTAATTTCATCTCTTCCACCAGACATCTATTTACTGATCTACATCCTCATCCACTGAATCCTACTGCACTTAGTCAGCAACACATAATATGTAAGTCAAAATATTTTTTTAGTATTTCATGTGTATGTTAAGATTGTAAGCTTCTTGGAGCTGGATCTATGTCTTGATTTCTTCTGAATACCCTAGAGGACCTAGAAGTTAATGTAGGGAGCATACAGCTTCAACGAACACTGACTGGGTCTCTGAAGCGTTTTGTCAAAGTGTATAAACAGCCTAGTTTCGGGTGTACCCTGACACGCCTATTTGGGGTTTCTTTGTGCTCCTCTACACCGTTTTCTGTTCAAACAAAGGGCTTCCTGGATTGACGCATTAAAGCTGCGTCCCAGGGAACCTGATTCAACGGAATCGGACCCCCCCACCCCCCAGGGTGTTGAGACTGTGAACAAAAACTGGACCTCTGACAGCCCATAAACAGTTTTAAAGACACACATTTTAAAATCCTACTCCAAAGCCTAGTTACCCGCCAGTTACCCTGGCCTCCGCAGCTGCCGAAGCTCAAAGATGTTGGCAAGCAGCTATGATCTGCGGTCCGGAGGCCCCAGTCGCTATGGCAACGGTGGGACGCAGGTGCACTTGCGTGGCCTTCTGACGGAAAAGCTTAGCTTGAACCGAGAGGAGAGCGTAGCGACAGCAGCGACTTTCGGCAGCTGCGTGACTTACGGCTGCCCCGCCCCTCGGGGAGCGCTGCTCGTGGGCGGGGCGGGAAGTACGAAAGTGAGAGCGCGCTCCCGAGTGCTGGGGTCCGGTCGCGCCGCAGCATGACCCAGTCGGTGGTCGTACAGGGTGAGCTGCGGGGAGGGGAGGCACCTTGTCGCCGCGCAGGCGACCAGCCTTGTTGTTTCTTCTAATGGCTACTCTCTTTCCCTCCTCTCGCTGATCGCAGTCGGCCAGTGCGGAAACCAGATCGGCTGCTGCTTCTGGGATCTGGCGCTAAGGGAGCACGCCGCGGTCAACCAGGTACCCGCCCAGCCGCCAGGAGACCCCTCCCCTGTCACCGAGGCTCGCCCAACAACTAAGCAAGGATCAGCCCATTTGACCTTTTATCTGACTGATATAAGTTGTATGGGGTCTTTTCAGGAAAGAACTGGTTTTTAAGCGTTTGTTGGCGTCACACCCAGACCAAACGCTGGCCAAATACCTTAAGTCTGGAGTCTCCCTGATTCTCAGAGTCTCATTTTTATCAGGAGTCTCTTGAAGAGCAAGGAGTAGTATTAGAGGAAGTACTTTGTAAAATTGGAAACATGTTGTACTATATTCCTGAGTTTAGTCAATTTTAAAATGATCACCAGGAATCCAGAGAAAGCTTTCTTGATGCACCTGTTCTCCAATCCTGTGGGGCTCCTTCCTTCAGCGCCCTCTGCTAAACTTAATCCATAGATCCTACGGCATTCACTCTTTAGGGAGGAAGAATCAGTGCATTTTATGATAACTTGTAGTTTTGTTATTGTTATAGCCAAATACCAGCCATTACAGTATTGTGAGAATATTAAATCGAAAGGTTTTCATTCGGGAAAGAAGCAAAACTTAATCAAATGCTATAAATATATTTTTTTCTTTTTAGAAAGGAATTTATGACGAGGCAATAAGCAGCTTCTTTAGAAATGTGGATACCAGGTAAGGTGGGATTAAAACCTGTCACATCGAATGATTCTTTCCATGTCATCAGATTGGGCGAGAATTCTTCAAAGAATAATAAAATAGTTGATAGCTATAAAGAAGTTTTTTGTTTTTCTCATTATTAAAAGCATTTTTCTCATTCTTATTCCCACATCATTAATATTTCTCATATTATTATGCAGAGCAAGACACCAGGTTTGTTTTTAAGACCATATTAAGGAACAAAAAGAACCTTTAGTGTGCCTTCTTTTATTTAACATGACCTTGAATAAACTTTTACCGAAGGACTGCTGGAAATTTCCCTCAGTGTATCTTTTTAATGCATTCAAGAATGCTAACTTTTAAAAGAAAAATGTATTTTTATATTTCTGTGATATTATTTGTAGTCAGGAATATTGGCTCTATGAATAGAATGTACTAAAAAGAAGAAAAGCAATTGTCAAATTACTTTTGTTTATTTAATAAAGAATCTATATAACGATGTTTTATTTGAAAGAGTAATGTTGACATTCAAGGTATGTCCATAAGGTTTTAATGTATAATCATTAAGTATGTGTGTTTTCAAAATACTTAAACTGTGGTGGACTTGAACTGAAAAATACAGAGTGAATAATCCATCTTTATGTAATTCAATAAACATTCTAGTTCTAGTTTGAATTAGTTCGTTGGGTATTTGAGGTAGTTATCTCCTAGAGAAAGCTAATTAGTCCCCACTTCCTTGGGGAATTTCAGAGTCTGACCCTCAGGCTTGCAACCTTAGAAAACTTGTTGACATCTTGAGAATAAGTCCATTGCTCTCCTGCACAGGTAGATAAACCAAACTCAAAAAGAATGGGACATTAATACACAGAAGGTCAATGTAGTAATTGACAGTAGGGACTGTTAACTCAAGACACTAGATCTTCCTTTACCTTCAAAAGCACATTCTCTTCTGTAGGAAATCTGCCTAAATAAAAAGTTGCTTGGTGACCATGGAATCAGACCAAGGGAAGTTAGGTGTATTACCTTAATGGCTGGTGTCATTTATTTTTATTATGTGGAAATATCTGCCATCTAGATTCCCCAGAATCTAGAACTAGATTCTAGAACATCGTTTCCCCCTAAATACTGTTAAAAGACTAAAATTTGCCTTTTGATACTTCCTTTTACATGCTTCTATCTAAATATCCACTCTCAACCCCTCTACTCTTGATGGCAAATCCTTTCACTAAGTATTACTTAGTTGAGGGGCGCCTGGGTGGCTCAGTCGGGTGAGCATCTGACTTCGGCTCCGGTCATGATCTTGCAGTTTGTGAGTTAGAGCCCCGCAATCAGGCTCACTGCTGTCAGCCTGTCAGCTCAGAGCAGGCTTTGGATCCTCTGTCCCTCTCTGCCCCTCCCCTGCTGGTGCCGTCTCTCTCAAAAATAAATTAAAAAAATTTTTTTTTCAAGTATTACTTAGTTGAGACTCAGTCTAGCAGCTATTCTTTCTTAATAATTGACTATATAACTGTACTCTTATGTACTCTGTTTTATAATAATTTAACCTGAAAGCATTCTTATTTCCCCAATCCCAAGTTTCTCCAAAAAGGAGAGCTGAGTCTTGGTATCTTACTATTCTATGTACTATCATCACCTGGGAGCATCTGTTCCACATTAATACAAAAAACTCAGGGCGCCTGGGTGGCTTAGTTGGTTAAGGTCCGACTTTCGCTTAGGTCATGATCTCGTGGTTCGTGGGTTCGAGCCCCACGTCAGGCTCTGTGCTGACTGCCAGCTAAGAGCCTAAAGCCTGTTTCAGATTCTGTGTCTCCCTTTCTCTCTGACCCTCCCCTGCTCATGCTGTCTCTCTTTCTCTCTCAGAAATAAATAAAACATTAAAAAAAATTTTTTTAATTAAAAAACTCAAAAACAAGATCACATATTTGTATACACTTCTATATCTTTTTCAGGAAATGACCACAACTTTTTAATAGCATCCTGGGAATTTACCTATACTAGAGGTTAACAAACCATTTCTATAAAGGACCAGATGGTAAATATTTCAGGTTTTGCAGACCATAAGTTCCATGTCACATTGGTTTGAATCTGCTGTTGTAGCGGGAATGCAGACAGCTTACTAGTGCATAAGCAAATGGGAAAGACTGTGTTTGAATAAAACTTTATTTAGGAAAATAAGCAGCTGGTCAGAGTTAGCCCAAGGACCACCATTTACCAGCTCTACCTATAGCATCATCTGTACTTAATTCAAATTCCTTTCATATATTCTGTCTTCTTGTAAACTATATTGACTTATATTCTATGTTTGGTTATAGATGTACTTACTTTAGTAACTTTTGTTCTACATGAAATTCTAGGAACAACCTTAAATATACAGTGATATGTAACTGGTGGCTTAAGCAGTAAAAGTATCCAGTTATCTCATAGAAAAGAAATCTGGAAATCTGATGATCTAGGCTTGGAGAAGTGCTTTAAAGACCGAGGCACTGTCACTTCATGATTCCTATTGTGTTGGCATCTTATCCTCATATTTATTATTTCATAACTAAAGCGGCAGCCACCACTCCACGCATCCATACTCATGTTCAACATGGGAAAAAAGGAAGACTTGGCACCAGTCTGCATCTGGTCCTCGTATCAGAAAAGCTTCCCATCATACGTCCTTTTTATCTCAGTCAGAACTGGATTACATGGCCAGCCCTAACTACAAAGAAAGCCAGGGGAAAAAGTACCTCACTTTTTCAGCCTCATAGGAGGGTAGGCAAGGGAGAGGAATAGGTATGGCATCTTCTCTTGCCTTTTGTGTCTTCCCCACTGGGCCTGTAAGTAGCTTTGTTATATAAATGGGAGTTAACTCTATTATCTAATAGCAGTATTAGCCTTGAAGGATCTTTTGACCTTTTCTCATTTTCTTATCTTTCAGAGTGGTTGGTGATGGTGGCAGTATTTCCAAGGGGAAAATTTGTTCTTTGAAAGCACGAGTAAGATCGATATGCTTGGATTCTTATATTGCATATGTTTTTAAAACAACTGTACTTTTGTAACTGTCATGAGAATAAAATTTTAGTTTAACTTTGCAAATTAAAAAAAGTATTGACTGGAGCGCCTGGTGGCTCAGTCAGTTGAGCACCCGACCTCGGCTCATTCATGATCCTGTTGTGGTCTGTGAGTTTGAGCCCCGCGTGTGTCGGGCTCTGTGCTGACAGTTCAGAGCCTGGAGCCTGCTTTGGGTTCTGTGCGTCCTTCTCTCTCTGCCCCTCCCCTGCTCACACTGTCTCTCTCAAAAATGAATAAACATTAAAAAAATAAAAGGTCACATTTTAGTGTAAATAAGCAGATATTTATGTCTACCTGAAACTTTAGGGGAAAAGTTGTGTGCTTTAAGTAAAAACACTGCCTATTTCTCATTTTTTGTGTGTGAATGTTTCAGGGGAGATGTACATCTAGATAAATGATAACACAAGGAATTTTCTTAACTCTAAGCGTGAAATACATATTAATGCAGGATAATTTTTCATTTGAAGATAATGGAAGATTTCTTTGCCTCAGAATTACTATTCCCAACACAAAGCATGAATCCAGCCACATTATAGTGAATACCACAACCATGTAAGACCTGTTGAACAAACATGCTTCAAGTCAGTAGCCCACATTTACTCTTAATCTCATTCCAGCAACATTTCTCTTTTGTGATTGTTGGTCTACAACAAACTGTTTTTTCCAGTTCGTGATAAGTTATTTTTGTAGCAAAAAAGAAAGGCAGTTGAAGTGCTATGGAAGGAATTGTGCTGATTCTATCAAAACTGACTCCAAGAGATGCTTGAATGTCACTATGCATTCTGCATGTTACTTCCTTTGTCAGAATGTAAGGTAATTGAGGTAATTGCCCACAAATTATTTTAAATAAATCTGTTTTGGAACAAGGCCAATATAAGATAATGTTTTTTCTTTTTGTAATCCTACACAACTCGTAGTACACTACAGTTTGCCCAAACAAGGAAGTGTCTCTTATGTGGTTGATCAGGTGTTAAAGTCAACATTTGAGGTAGAAGTTGCATAGCATCATAAATATCTAGAAAATCCCTAAATTACCAGTAAATAACCCTATATAGTCCAGTATACATAAAGCGTATACAGAACAGCACATTTGCAATACCTAAATATTGTATAGGGTTTTTTTTTTAATTTAAAAAAAATTAAAAAAAAATTTTTTTTTGAGAGACAGAGAGAGACAGCATGAGCGGGAAAGGGCAGAGAGAGAGGGAGACTCCGAATCCAAAGCAGGCTACAGACTGAGCTGTCAGCACAGAGCCTGATGTGGGGCTTGAACCCATGAAACATGAGATCATGACCTGAGCTGAATTCGGACACTTAACCGACTAAGCCACCCAGGCGCTCCTGTATAGTCTTTCTAATATACGACTGTGATATACTATTATACAATTAGAAATATAATATTTCTGATATTCTGTGGAAGACAATTTTTTAAATTGCTTGCTTATAGTAGCATAGTTAATTAACTACACCAATAATTGAATTCACAGAATTTAAATGGGCATAAATTGCAACTTCAAGGTAGTTAGTGCTCCCTAAATATTGAACTTGACTGTCTCCTGTCAATAAGATAGCAGAGCATGGAGTTTGGTGGGTAAGGGTGAAGATTCTGTACCAGGGTAACCCGGTTTGAATCTTTGCTCCAGCACTCACTAGCTGGGTTGAAGTTGTTTAACTTTCCTAGGCCTTAGTTTTTTCACGTGTTACGTGATGGTAACTGTAGCACTACACATAAGGTTGTGAGGATCAAATGGGGTGATGTGCACAAAGCACTTAGAGCCCCAACATGTAGTAAGTGCTTAACATAACGGGGTCACAAGAACTTAAAAAAAGCCCATAAACCAAACACTTTCCCTGTGACACTGAATCAGAATTAATAGCTTTGTAATGTACTCTAAGGTTATTTCATATTTTTTTTAGCTTTTTAATTTATTTAACTATTTCCGTTTTCACTCATCTTCCTCAGTGTAGAAAATGTAGGAAGTACAAGACGGTGTGTGTGAGGGGGGGGGGTTATATAATTCTCTTGCCATCCCTGCTTACATTTTCCTCCAGTCTTCTCTGTTTTTCTTTCCATAGTTAATTTTATGTTCTATATCCTCATTTTCCTCTGAGGAATAGAGGTTATCTCCCATGTCAATAATGTTTGTGGTAATGAATTAGGTTTCCTTGGTCAGAGAGGGACCCTGTTGTCATCTTTGACAATGATCCAGCACCTTGATTTGCACATAATAGTATGTTTACGGATTTGAATTGGACAGTTTGGGGCTGTGATTCGTGAAGAGCAGCATGGTTGCTCAAGTGAGCAGAGAGCCATTAACATACCCTACATTTACTAAGAATTTTTTTCTAGTTAAGGCGCCTTTTAAATTTCTGAGTCCTTTTTCTCAAAACATTTACAGTCACACAGGCACATGAGTAAGAGAATTATTAGAGGAAATCAGTTGAGGGGATTATTCAGTTCCTTTTTTGCCCCCACATGGTATTCTGGAGTAGGATAAGAGTTTAGAATCCATCTTTTAATTGTATTCCACCTCCTGAGCAGAGTGAAATTACCTTTTCATTCTTGTAACAGATGCTACATGAAGATTCAAATGAAGATTTCATTAATCTTAAGCTGTAAAAAGAGCAGCGCAACTTTTAGCTCATAAATTCATTTACAGAGTAGCTCTAAAGAAAAGTATGCTAATTAAATTTTATTTCTCTTTCTCAGGCTGTCTTGATTGACATGGAGGAAGGGGTAGTAAATGAAATTCTGCAGGGACCATTGAGAGATGTATTCGATAGCAAGCAGCTCATCACTGATATTTCTGGCTCAGGGAATAATTGGTGAGAATGTGCTGTGTGTAAAAATTGAATGTCACCTGAAAAAAAATGAACAATCGTTCCTTCATTCTAATAGGTCCTGCTGACATGAGAGCAAGATCTAACCTGCTACACCTGCCTCTAAGCTGAAACAGCCCATCATCTTTTCCTTGAAAAATGATGGTGTTTCTCAGTACTTAAAAGTCACCTGAATCATAGTTCTTTCTCATTTTTTTAAGAAAAAAATTACGAAAAATTGATTTACCAAACTCCTTGTTGTAAATTGATTCTTAAATACTACTAAATAGTGACAAAAGTGACTAAATAATGACAAAGGTATTTTTATAAACTCTTCTCTTACCTATATTATTTGATTCTATCAAGTTCTCCGTTGGTCAGATTTAATATGATTGATAAGACTAAGATGTGCAAGCCAGACCAGTGTCCCAGTATTTAGGCTCAGCCCGAGGCTGTTTAGCTTTAAATATAATGGTCTGTTCTCCTTAATGGGGTAAAAATCTTCAACAACGATCATTTAATAATAATTGCCATTGAAACTGTTTCGCTGCTTTTTAAAAATTAAGTAGCTCCTTGTTACTTGCAAATCTAGTATTATTTTATCTATTTACAGTCAATCCCTCAAGTTCCTACTGTGGATGCATAATTACCGGGTACCCGGCTGGCTTTTTCAGAAGAGTGTGCAGTTCTTGATCTGTGGGTCCTAAGTTTGAGCCCCATGTTGGGTGCAGAGATTACTTAAATAAATACAACTTTAAAGCACGAATTTATACTTTGTGTTCTTAGAGACTCATCTGGGGAGGACCAGTCACTAAATGAATTCACATGCCCACTTAACTGGCTTTCCACTAATTATTGTGTAACTTGTAATTTTTGAGTTACACAGCCTGATATATGTTGTGGGAAAATCATTTATTTTTTAATCATTTAATCATTTTTAATGCATCAAAGTGCTACTTGCAAATCTGATTAGCCAAAAAGGCTTGCAGAGTCATGAGTATCAGTTTTTTTTTCTGTGCCAGTTTCTGTAATCATATCACATGACTTATGTTTTCTCATATATTAAACCAATATGTTCAAAATTTTTATTTTTAATGTCATTCTAGTTGACTACATTCTACTTTTCAATATGTAAAATTTACTGCAGAGTTTGTTTTAAATGGAGATAAGAAACAGCTATGTAAATAAAGTCTTATAATTATGTCTAAAAAAAAGAGAAGATAAATATAGAAAACCATAGTTTAATATCCACTGATAATGAGCTATTTTGTCCAGATATTTGAGGATTATAGATACATTATTTGTTACATCTTCTACCTAGTGTCTTTGAAATATCATAATATGATTCATTGATAGGAAAGCAGAAGAATTTACTTAATACAGTAAAACTGCTTCTTCAAATTTTTCTATAATCTTTTCATTTAGATCAGAAAAATAAAATCTTGAAATAATAAATGCCAGGGTGATTTTGTAATTTATATCTTTTTTTCCTCAGGGCTGTGGGTCACAAAGTGTTTGGCAGCCTTTATCAAGAACAGATTTTAGAGAAACTCAGAAAGTCGGCAGAGCACTGTGATTGTTTACAGTGTTTTTTTATCATACATTCCATGGGAGGAGGTAAAGTTATTCAATCGTTTCCCTATAATAATGTGAAAGTGTGAGTGGGAACTCATTTTGCAAACTGAAGTATGTTTTCAGACTTATGCTTCATAAAGGTAGAACTTTTAACACTGTGTTTATGAGTATGTACATAACTGCTTTTTATTTTAGATTTTTGTCAGATTTTGTTGCTATTACCATATTTTTTTTAAAATTTAAGCCCTGTTAAGAGTCAGGAGAGCTGAATCTGAATTGTTTTTCTTCTACCTTTAGTTTCTTTTACAAAATTTCCAACGACATTTCAGTATATATGAGCTTCCTGGGAATGCTGACTTTCTCTTAAGAGTTTGCGTGTGCAGTCTCGTATCCTAACTAGAGGGAGCATTTCTGGCTAAAAACTGTCCGTATCCTTCAACTACCTTCAAACCTTTCTTGTGTCCAGTAAGAGACATAAATAAAAGAAATCCTTTCATCAGCTCCTTTAAATCTTTCCTTACATGGCAATTACCTTGACTTATAATAAATGATCTGCACTGCTTTCTTTTCCCAGGAAAGCCTGTACCTTGCAAATGAAGTATCTTGCTCCTCTGTCCCATGAACTAGAAACATTGTATTTTGCTATTTCAAATAGGATTAGCGAATTTTAAAAGAAAAATTTGCCATGATGCTCTTTTTCTCCGAGCTAATATTAGGATTTTATATTCAACAGGTTATATAAATTGATTTTTATACATATCTATTATGCAGTATGATAGTATTTTGAAATTAAAGTTATAATTGCTTTGTAAACCATGCCTTTAGAGGACCATCATAATCACTGAATTAAAAAACAAATTCTCAAAAAAAAATAAAAAGAAGTAAATTCTCTCTCTACTAGTGTAATTAACCTACAAGTTTGGATACGTTTAAAACTTTTTGATTTATATTTCATTACAGTGCCTTTTGAAATCTTTCTATTCAAAATCTCAGATTATACTTTATTCATAATATACTGGAAAAAATAAGTAATAGTGAAGGTTGAAAATAGTCTCCTCTCTCACATCTTAATTCCTAGTTTCTTTCCTCAGAGGTAATCAAGTTTGCCAGTGTCTGTACTTCCAGATATTTTCAATGCCTGTTTTATGTGTATGCATAGTTTTACATAAACAAGATTATGAGATGCTTATTACTCTAATTTTTTCACTGTGTCTTTCCCAAATGCCTTTGAATATCATCTGTGTCACATAGAATTCAATTGTGTTAATAATTTTTAAAGTCTATTTCTCATTAGTAGTTGTTAAGTTTATGCTGTTCAGTTATGACAGACAGTCCTCAGTTGAATATCTGGTACGTACATTTCTGCTCATTTGTGGCTCTCTAGCTGTAGGTAATATTCCCAAAAGGAAGGTGGGACCAAAGAGTATGTACGTTTTAAATTTTGATTCATATAAATAAATACCTTCCTACATTATTTCACCAATCCATTTTTTTTTAAATTTTTTTTTTTTTAATGTTTTATTTATTTCTAGGAGAGAGAGAGACAGCGTGAGCAGGGGAGGGTCAGAGAGAGAGGGAGTCACAGACTGAAACAAGCTCCAGGCTCTGAGCTGGCAGTCAGCACAGAGCCCGACGCGGGGCTCGAACCCACGAACCGCGAGACCATGACCCAAGTGAAAGTCGGACGCTTAACCAACTAAGCCACCCAGGCGCCCCTCACCAATCCATATTATTAGCAACAATTTGTACAAGTTTTTATTTCCCCACGCTGTCACCAACACTGAGTATTAGAAGACCTAAAGCTGTCTAATATATTCAAAATTAGATTGTTTTAATTTGGATGTCTTTGATTATAAGAAAGGTTAAGCACATTCGTATCTATTCACCAATTGATTTATTATGAATTACATATTTACATACTTTGCCCATTTTTCTATTATTCATGGATTTTTGGTTATTGATTTGTGAGACCTCTTTATTAAAGCAATTTAGTCCTTCATCATATGTGTTGGAAATTTTTTCTTAGTTTGCCCTCTTCATTTTGTTTATGGATTTTATATGTATATATTTATATGGTGCTTAAAATTTTTTAATGGAATTAAAACAGTCTTCTCTATGATGGCTCTGGTGTTTAATATATGTTTCTACAAAAAAAAATGTAAAATTCCAAGTTCCTCATAATTTTATTTTGAATCATTTATGCTGGGTTTTGTTTTCATTTTTTGCAATTTTGATTCTTAGGAACAGGATCTGGACTTGGCACATTTCTCTTAAAGGTGCTTGAGGATGAATTCCCAGAAGTATACCGATTTGTGACTTCAGTTTATCCTTCTGGTGAGGATGATGTCATAACCTCACCTTACAATAGCATCTTGGCAATGAAGGAACTTAATGAGCATGCAGACTGTGTGTTGCCCATTGACAACCAAGTAAGAAATGACATGTGACTTATGGGTATATCGTGTATACATTCTGTCCTATGTCGTGCTTATGAAACATTGTCTTCACCTTTCAGCCTTCCCATCTAAGAGGAAAAATAAGTATAAATTGTTTTTCTTTCTCTTCTTTTCTTCCTGGTAGAATGGCATCTGTGTCCGCTCTTAATAGCTTCTCTCCCAATATTTTTCCTTTAAAAGTCTTTGTTTGACATCGTTAGCAAAATTGACCTCATGGTGAATTCTAGAAAGTTGGGTACAACTGTAAAGCCAAAGAGTCTGCTTACTTCGAGTGCTGGGGCTTTGAAAAAGCAGCACCAGAAGCCCTTTGATGCAATGAACAACATTGTGGCAAATTTGCTCCTGAACCTGACCAGGTAATCCTATTGATGGTATACCTGAGGACAGTTTACAGACTTCACTTCGCTTCTGATGAGGCTTGCAGTAGCATTCTTGTAGTAGCAGTTTTTAGTTTTCCTACGTCATAAGAGCTTCTTTTTATTTTGTCTAGTATTTTCAGACCATGGAGTGATTGACCAGAATTTTCATTTCTATGGCTCCAAAGTGGCATTTCCTCAGATACATTCTGTAGAATGCATTAATGTATTATGTATAGAATAGAATGTATCTATTCTATATAATATTAGTAGATATTAAATGAAAAAATTATTACAGAGACACTTGAGAACCTGATTAAATAAAAGCAGCTTTTTTTTTTTTTTTTTCTGTAGAATGTCTTCGTCTTTCAAACCAGCTAATGTTTACCTCCTCATTCATTAGCTGGTCCAAAATATTTCCTTGACTTTGGTCTAGAAGATTGCTTTGGCATTATTATATTCCAAATTATAGAACACATTAAGCAAACTCTTGAGGAATTTAGTAAAATTTATAAGACAGTTAAATAATCATTGACCTGTATGTGCTTAACTCAATCTAAAGTCTATTTTAAGTAAGATACTTGTGTGTATGTAATATGCCTCATAATAGCGTTTTGGTTATACATCATATAATCCACAAATAAGAATTGCTATACATGTGTATTGTATTTCAATTGTCTTTATATATGATATTCATGATACTAAATTTCACTAATACAGAAAAAAAAAGCATATATTCCCTAACTGAAGAACAGTGTACAAAAGGGTTTAAGAATGCCTGCTGAATAAATCTAGCCATGTTCAAATTATAAAGATTTTAAATTAATTTTTTTCTCTTGCTTTAATGATAATTTTTTAGCTCTGCAAGGTTTGAAGGGTCCCTTAATATGGATCTTAATGAAATCAGCATGAATTTAGTTCCTTTTCCTCAACTACATTATCTTGTGTCAAGCCTAACACCTCTATATACACTGGCAGATGTTAACATTCCTACCCGAAGGTAAAGTGTAGTAATTTTATTCCAGTTACTTGATAATTTGATTTACTTTTTGAAAAAATTTTTTAAAGCTTATAATAACTCTGGGTATTTCTTCATATCATTTACAGTTGATGACAACCATTTTTTCATGATTTGAATTCTTCTTTATTTTCAAGTCATTGATTAAAAGTCAATATTAAGGGGCACCCAGGTGGCTCAGTTGGTTAAGCCTTGGGCTCCTGACTTCAGCTCAGGTCACAGTTCATGGGTTTGAGCCCCACATCGAGCTCTGTGCTGACAGTGCGGAGCTGGCTTAGGATTCTCTTTCTCACCCTTTCTCTCTGCCCCTCCCCTACTTGTGTGCTCTATCTCTGTCTCTCTCTCTCAAAATAAGTAAACTTTTTAAAAAGTCAATATTAAACTATTTTAAATTAAATCTAAATTTCTAAGCCAATTAAATTAATAAAGATATAGTTTTTATTGAAAAAGATCTAAAGGCTTTGAAGTCTGACATACTGAGTCTGAATGCTAATTATGTCACTAGCTACAGGACCTTGGGCAAGTGACAAACTTTCTTTTCATTTTTCTCATCTGTAAAAATGAGAATCAATGCACCTATCTCATTCGCTTGTTGGGTATATTAAATAAGAGTATCCTTTAAAGCTCTTATCACAGTCTCATACCATAGAACTAGGCTTTCCAATGTTATTGTTCACGGTAGCTGTTACATATCATTTCCAGAACACCTTGCTTTGTAAGTGGGTGTCATTTATAAGCAAAACACTTAAGAGGCTACTTAACAAAAAAACGTAGCTGAAAAATACTCAGAGCATATTCAGTGATAATGAGCTTGAAAAGGTCCAACTGGCATCGACAATTGAGGGAAAAGGTCCTGTCACACTCTGTAAGAGGGTAGTATGCTAGTAAGCAAATTATAAAGTAAAAACTAGATTAAAGTTTTTATAGTTTAAGTTTTGGCAAAATAACAAGTCTACACTGTGTGGGATGTCACAGTGATATTAACTAACTTTTATTTAACTGGTAACAAATACCCAGTTATGCCAGCTAACAGATAGGACTCTTTCTGCTCAGGATGCTGATAACCTTAAGTTAAGCAACTTGCATAGTATATGGAATATGGTGACCATTAAATATTCACTGTTTTTATCAGCCCAACATATTAAAAATGTGAGTATTTAAATAAAACGTTCATCTTTAATGTGGACACATACAATGTAAATTCATGCTAAACTATTTATTATACAACAGTGATAATCCAGACATTTTTTACACTTAATTAAGTACACTTAATAAAGGAGAAAATGTTCGACTTGGTCTTTCCACCTGAATGTTTCAAAGCCAATTAAATTTCTTTTAATCCTGCTTTTCAGCATATTTTGATAAAAATAATACTGTTTCAACATTTTTTATTCATATAGTCATAATTTGTTACAAAGGTTTATTTTTAATTAAAGCGTGTTTGTGAAAATATATAAGGGACTGTAAAGATTTTAGACTCTTAAAGAGCTTGTCACAGTGTTCTTTCTATCTCAGTGTTCTTCTTTTCTGCTGTACTGTAGATAATTCAGAGGCTGCTGTATCAGCACATGAACACATTTGTCCTTGAGAAAAGTAATAAAATATTTTAAAATTGTACTATTAAAAGTCACAGTTTTAAAATTCTTTAATTTCTTATTAGTAGTTTCTAAACAAGTGAGAATGTTTTTTGTTGTACCTTTTATTAATGTCATTTCTGAATAGTCAGTCCCATTTTTATCACATGAAAATAATGAGCGCATTGTAGAATTAATGTATGTTTCTTGAAATTCCATATTTCTTATGTAAATAAAGATAAGTATTCCAGACTCACAGATAGCCCCTTACTCGTTTTTAAATTTTGTGTCAGAAAATAAATCACGAACAAGTTTGCCCACTTGTTGTATGGTGATTCTTAACCTTTTCTGGGTCTCCTTAACTCCATGAAAATGCCCAAAAGCACATAGCACAACACAGTTTTGAACACAGTAGCAGAAGATTTATGAATCCACCATAGCTCACTCCTTAAAGGAGCCTTCTGTTCTTGCCGTCACATGACCAAGACAGAATGTAAGCTCATTAGAGTAGGAAATTTTTGGTACTGTTAACTGCTGAGTCTCTTGCACTTAAAATAGTGCCTGGCACGTAGTAGGCTTTTGGTAAGTAACTGTCGAATGAGTAGGTAACACAGTGATTTCTGCAGCTCTTCCCAGACATTCTGCAGATTCAGCGTACAGAACCTTGGTCAGAGTTACCTAAGGAACCTAATCATATCTGTATTGAGGCAGGTGAGATTTAAGAACCAGACTGGAGCTATATTAAGGACCTAGGATGCCGTGAATTGTTAGATATAAACTTGTGAGCACCTTTTTCTTCCTCTCTTTAAATGAAGGATAAAAGATGTCCTCTTTTTTCATATTTTTCATCAAGGTTGCTTCAAGAAAATGATAGCTGATATTTAGAATGTATTTGTGTATGAAGTTTATTTACCTATAGATGACTGTCCCTGCACTTTGTATACATAGAAGGTATACATAGAAGAAGTAATATTTGGTATAAACAGCGATTCTTTCATTGTTCTAGGTTGGATCAGATGTTTTCGGATGCCTTTAGTAAAGATCACCAGCTAATTCGGGCTGACCCCAAACATAGTCTCTACCTAGCCTGTGCCCTTATGGTTAGAGGAAATGTACAGGTTTCAGATCTTCGCAGAAATATTGAAAGGTTTGATTTTATATTTTCCTGATAATTTATGTGTACCACTTGTGACAATGTAGCATGGTAGCTCAGATGGCCTCTCTTCCAATCCTAGCATTTGCCATTTAAGTGTGACCTTGACTTTTTTCAAATGTAAAATAAGGATTATAGTACAAAATTGTTATTTATGAATAACGAATAAAACATCTCATGATGTTTTATTTTCAGTTTTTTTAATGTTTATTTTTGAGAGAGCATGCGTAAGCAAGCAAGGGAGGGGCAGAATGGAGGGAGACACAGAATCTGAAGCAGGCTCCAGGCTCTGAGCTGTCAGCACAGAGTTTGATGCGAGGCTCGAACTCACAAACTGTGAGATCATGACCGGAACCAAAGTTGGATGCTTACCTGACTGAGCCACCCAGATGCCCCAAGATATTTTATTTTCTGAAACTGTTCAGAAAATTTAACTATTGTTGTTTACTACCACCACTACCACTGCATTGCTTCTAAGTTTATATTTTACTATTTTTTGACAGTCTGTTTTTTTTTAGGAAAACTCTATTGAATTACAAAGTAAGGAAAATTGTATTACTTTCATTTCTTTTTCTTTGCCAGATTTTATGTCCTCCTCACTAAATGTCCCTTAGTTCACAGTCAGACTGTACCATGGTACTGCTAAGAATAAAACATAGATAACTTACCTTATATATTAAGCAATTAGAATGGTAATTACCATCAGTAATGTCCATTGCCACATACGGCAGATGTTTTCAGTACCTTCATTCTCACCTTTGGGTTTTTCTATCTCAGATTAAAACCTTCTCTACAGTTTATCTCCTGGAATCAAGAAGGTTGGAAAACAAGCCTGTGTTCAGTACCTCCCGTGGGCCATTCCCATTCATTACTAGCTCTATCAAATAACACATGCGTGAAGCCTACCTTCATGGAACTGAGAGAGCGATTCATGAGGCTCTACAAGAAAAAGGTAAATATCAGTACGCTTTTGTAACTATATGTTTTTATTTGGATTATTTAAGATGTTTTCTTGTGAATTACACTATTAAGAGTCAGGGGCGGGGCACCTGGGTGGCTCAGTCGGTTAAGCGTCCGACTTCGGCTCAGGTCATGATCTCACAGTTCGTGGGTTCGAGCCCCGCATTGGGCTCTGCGCTGACGGCTAGCTCAGACCCTGGAGCCTGTTTCAGATTCTGTGTCTCCCTCTCTCCCTGACCCTCCGCTGTTCATGCTGTCTCTCTCTCTCAGAAATAAATAAAAAATATTAAAAAAAAAAAAAGTCAGGGGCACCCCTGACTGCTATATTCATTGTACTGATTATAAATGAAGAGGAGAGATTTACTCAGACTATCTAAATGAAAAATCTCGTGAGTTTATAGGATTTGAGTCTCTCTTTTAAAATTGTTTCTCTTGTAAAACTGAGTGATCTATTATTTTAATAAAGTATATCTATGTTTTGGTGCACCTAAGTGGCCTATTCGGTTACATGTCTGACTTTGGCTCCGGTCATGATCTCACAGTTCATGGCTTCAAGCCCCACATCAGGCTCTATGCTGACATGTCAGAGCCTGGACCTGCTTCAGATTCTGTGTCACCCTCTCTCTCTGCCCCTCCCCAAGTCATGCTATGTCTCTCTCTCTCTCTCAAAAATAAACATAAAAAAATATGTTTTAGGACAGTTATATTTGTATCAGGTTTCCTGAAAATGGTCAACATTATCCGTTTTTGTTTGTTTATAGGCTCATCTTCATCACTATCTACAAATCGAAGGGATGGAGGAAAGCTGTTTCGTGGAAGCTGTGTCATCATTATCCGGGCTCATAGAGGAGTATAACCAACTGGATGCCACACTAAGTGTGCCTGCGGAAGATGTGCCTAGACTAAGCGTCGTCGTGTAAAACAGAAAACCCAAAAGGACCACTTTTACTTTCCTGAATGTCACATTTTTTTGTCACTTTATCTTTCTGTTTCAGAACTACTGTGATTCAGAAAGCCTAGTTTGCACGTTTCATGTTAGAAAGCATTTTTGTCTTAAAAAAAAAGAGTGGCTTTCCTTTCGTCACAATTTGTGGATGATACCAGTGTGTGACATTAGTGAAGTCCTAGTACCTTTAGCTTCAAACATTTGTCTTCAGGAAGTTGCCCTTTTCTAAAATTGAGAAAACAGAGTTCAACATTTTACTTTATTTATAGTTTCATGTTCAGGCATTCGTACAATGGTAATCATGTCTTCAATAAAAATCTTACACAGATTTTTATATATTTATGTATAATTTATTTTTTCATACTTTGGTTAAATTCTCCTGATTCTTTAAAAGTATGAAGAATACTAGAAGACCACAATATAAATATTTCTATGTAATTAACTTTTCAGGGATAGGTTTTATTATAACAGCTATTAAGGAGGTATTGTTTCTTTGTATAACTACTTGTTTGCACTGAAAAGAGTCAAAATTTACATTTATTTTAACAGGTATTTGTATTAAGTTATTTTTAAATATAATGCTTTTTATTAAACCAGTTGATTTTATAATCATAAATATTCATATTTTTATATAGTATAACTTCTTATTGGTTTTGCTTCTCACCACTTACGTAAGCAAACGGAATGTTACTCAGCTTGATATCTTCTTCCAAACTTTGCACTAAAAGGCTGTAATAGTCTAGTGAAAGTGTTCCAGTAACTATAATCTCCAGCTCTAGTTTTTAACATTAATTTACCTTTAAATATAATATATATTTTATATCCATAGATGGATTTGTCATTTAAGGAAGTACTTTTTAGGAACAATTTATTTTCAAACCAAAATAATCTATTGTGTGCTTTCTTTAGTGTTATAGTCTTAAGTTTCTTTCCTTTTCAAAGTAAGGATACTGCTCTTGATCTTTATGTTAGAGATTTAACTTTTTACAGTATTTTGTATATAAACTTTTAGATTACAGTTGTCTACAATGGCCGAAGAAGTTCTACTTCCTCTTTCCAAAAGAAATCTTAATAAACTCATATTTAGGATAGGGCAATGGAAACTATAAATATATTTACAGTGTAATCTTATTCCTATTTAAGAATTAACATAGACTCTTGCTCACCCACATAATGATTATCATCTGATGAGATCCTAGGCTACATTGTCAAAGTACACATAAAGTTTTAAAACATAGTTTTAAAAAAGTTTTAAACTTTTTACACATCTTCACCAAAGTATTCCAGATTACTTTATAGAATGAAATGTTTTCTTGTAAATTGTATAATTTTTCTATCATGTATGGAATATGTAGATGGAACCAAGTATCTGTGTATTTCATAATTATACATTTTAAAGTAAGAGTTCAGTTTTAAGGTGTTTAGACTTTAAGAAAACCTTTTTAAAATTTTCTATTGCCTTAAATAGAGTCATATGAGAATAGGTAGGCATTCTTACTGTTCTGAATCAATCAGGTAGATTTGCCATCCTTTAAAACCATTCTAATTTTCCGATGTAATGACATGATTACCTGAACTTAACTTTTCCCATATAAATTTGGTTTTATAGGATCTTGAGCTCAGAAAATATATCTCCTGGATCTCTGCAGTTTCTTTGACATACACAAGATGTAATCCACAGCATCTTCCATTTAAAGGACCCTTCATTTGGGCAATCAAATTGAACAGTAATCATTTTAGACTTGTTAGGGACACAGCATCTCTTATCTAAGCATACTCCGCAGAAAGTGGGCTTATAACTCTGAGTGCTTGAGCATCCAGAAAAGACGAATTTTTCAGCTTTGAGGAGTTGGAAAGTAGGTTGGCACGTTTTTCCTTTAGGGATCTGAAAAGGCATACAACATGAAGAAGCCATTAGAAAAGCGATACTATATACAGAAAATTTTTATAGCACAAACACACAGGTATAATTATTTCCAGGGCACTAATATTTCTTATTTGGTGACTCAGCACTCTGTTTTCTAACTTTGCAACCCCCTCCCCAGAGGCCTGTCCTCCCTAGTCTTGCTCCATCACAGGACCCACTCCCTGGGATTTTTGCTCTCCACCCTTCACTTAGTTCCACAATTTCCACACTGAAAATTTCCGTCTCATTTAATATCAAGGGCCAGGCCTTATTAAATGTTTATTTACCTAAGGCTTAGCAAATTCCCTAACACAGCTCAGTTTTGAGTGGATGAATAAATGAATCAATAAATATCTTAATCCCTTTAAAATTGAGTTGTCAACTTCTTAATACGACAGGGAGTAACCTGGGGATGAGAAGGGTTTTGTAGCATTCCTGAACTTACTCTTGAGACAGTCGTCTTGCCTTGTTCTAGAAGTAGGGCCAGCTCTAGTTATACCAAACAATTTCAGGGTAAATATTTTATCATAGTCCTTGGGCAAGTTTCTTTTTTAATAAGCACAGAGCATTTTGGAAATGGTGGCTTCTCCCTTGGTTATTGGTGAATCTATAACCAAGATCAGAGCTTCTCTGATGTTCATAATGTCGGTTTTCATAATTAGGATACAGCAGTCAGAATCTTTTATCCATTGTTTTGATTCCACTACATAAAATTAATATATTTTTTAAAAGTCAGAATCCGAAAAGGATTTACTTTTTATTTTTTTTTAAAAGGATTTACTTGAAAAAAAAAATGCATAGGGGCGCCTGGGTGGCTCAGTCGGCTGTGTGTCCGACTTCAGCTCAGGTCATGATCTCACAGTTCGTGGTTCGAGCCCCGCGTCGGGCTCTGTGCTGACTGCCAGCTCAGAGCCTGGAGCAGGTTTCAGATTCTGTATCTCCCTCTCTCTCTGACCCTCCCCACTCACGCTGTCAATCTCTCTCTCTCTCTCTCAGAAATAAAACATTAAAAAAAAATTTTTAAAAAATGCATAGTGGGTGTACCACAACAAATCAGGCTGCTCAAGGCCACACTGTTAAGCTACCAGAGTATCCAGAATCAACAGGTTAACAGGACCTCCCCGCTTTCCCCGCTTGGTAAAATTTTCCCCATGAAGTGCAGTTAGATTAATACTTGCTTTCCTCGGAGATAGTTTAAGAGTTACAATGAGGTGATTTTTTTTTTTTTTTTTGTAAGAATCACACACTGTCTATCCCTCTAAAACACACACTTTTCAGGAGTCTCTTAATATTGAATTACAATGAAGCTAAATCTAATTAAATTTTACCTTTACTCTCTTTGATATATTACTGTCGCAGGGTTGAATATAACACAGTCTTTTCTCTTTTCTCATTTCACAGTTGCTATTTTCATTGGTCACCCTATCAGATATTCCCATCCCACAGGTTCTGGAGCAAGGGCTCCATTTTGTTGCTTGCACAAGACATTTTCTTTTCCAAATAAGTGGGAGATTCCGATAAGCTAAAATAAAGGGGGAAAAGTACATGTGTATACATGTATGTACTCAGACAACTTTTAAAAATTATTTTTAAGCTAATAGTAAATAGGTCAGAACTTTTCCTTTTATGCAGTGTAACTCCGAATAAAATAAGCTTTAGTCTAATTCATCATTCTCTCTTTTTCCTACTTTCCAGATTACCTTGTAATCAATTGTATTACAGTACAATTTCTTAGGAAGAATAAAGATAATTTATCTTTGAAAAATCTGAGTAAGTGTATCCATTTGCTTCTGCTTAGCTCATCCTCTAAGTACTAAACTACTTGCCTCTTGCTGGATATTATTTTCAAAAATGACATAGACATTAGTCAGATTAAGAAATTTGAGGTATTAATCAGAATGATGTCTTAATGTTAAATTTCATGGCATCTTACAATCTAAAATACAAAAGTTATATTTGAGAATAAACCATTAAGCCAGTTACTTTTCCTCTACTTGTTTTAATCTAGTCTTCTAGAAAATTCTCTACATTACACTGAACTAATCAAAATAACCATATACTAAATCATGGCAAATGTGTAATCTATTTTGTTCATTCAGCTTAATTGCTACATTCCCTGTGGTATCAGGCCCATGGTATTCCTTCTATTGGCTAGCCATTTCAAATCATTTATAGAAAGCCATGGCAAAGGAAAAGATGGATAGATCTCTGGGTAGGTGGGTAAGTTGCTGGACAGATGGAGGTCCCTCCACTGATTGCTACTTAGCAGAAGAGTGGAGAAGGGGATGAATAATGAGAATATAATGAGTGCATAATAATTCCTCCATCCTTATAGAGCACTGGGAGCTTCTTGTTCTGCTCATGAATGAGTCAGGCCATTGGTTCATTTTAAACAAACTACATTTTAGTTCATTGTCTCAAAGCATTTCCTTAAGGTTAATATGTATCCTAAAAGGGATGCTTGGAATAAGGTTGTGATTTGAGTCTGCTGTTGAGTAAAGCAAAACTCTGGCTATATTACTCCAAAATGCAAATTTAAAACTATGGAAGGACGCCCCTCTCCCAACAACTACCTTCTTGATAGGAAAGATCAGTCACTTTGAAGTATGTGCTATCTTCAAATAAATGATACTTTACTGCTTTCAGTGTTATTAACAGTAGGATGTTGCAACTGCACAAGGAACTGAGAGAGAGGAAGCAGAAACCTGCAGGTACCTGGAAGGTAGACAACAGTGTAAAGACCTCAATGCAGGAAGCAGATTAAAAGCCTGGCACGCATCTGCAATAAATAAAGGTAGGTTCGATTATCACATTACCAATAACCCCCTTAAAAAGTTAAGCCAAGGGCTGCCATTCAGGAATCTAACATTCATTGAGAAGCAAGAAGACTAGAAGAGCTTTTAAAGTAATAGTTTAGAATTTGGTGAGCAGTGAGAAAAGCATGGAGCACTATGTCATCGCATATGCTTCAAGTGAGCAAGCAAAAGCTAGAATCCAACCGTAGGCCATCTGGAGTCAAGTATGCCCAGATACACCTTAAAATATGTTTGTCACTGTGCTTATTTTTAAAAACCAAGCTTCTCTTTGGGCCCCTAAACACAGTTTCACGGTTAAGCAGAGGAGAGACTTGAGATGGAACATACACTAACATAACTAGGCCTGTAGTCTCAATTACCAGAGAGTACAGTGGCAGATTTCCTTGTTTTTTGTAGCAAAGCACGAGCCACTGGGAATGACCATGTAACACCCCCTCCAACCAGGTTCCAGTGATGCTCTGCAACTGCTCTCCCTCCACAATTTTAGTATATGTGCTGCCGAAGCGAGCACTGCTCTCCCTCCACAAATGAGACGTCGACTGAACTTGACCCAAAGGGCTTCACTAGTGGTAACTTGCTGCCCTGGGGCGTTCTCTCGCCAGTGAGGTTCATGCGTGGGTCCCAATAACTTAGACTAAGCCACTCAGATCCAATTCAGAAAATCAACTGTTCCAGGACATTTTGGAAAAAAAGAACAGTTTGGCTTATAATTTTAGAGGTTTCAGAGCATTAGTAGTGTCATGTTTTTAGCTGAATAACTAAGTGTTGTAAATGCAAATTCACCACAACCTGTTCAATTATTTTCAAATTAACTGGCATAATGGAAGTCTTTGAGAATGTTCCTTTCATAGAGTTGGTTTTTTAAATATCTAAAACCCATTGCTCTGATTATAGTTGCTTTTATTAAATATCTACATAACAACTTAGGAGTTTTTAGTATATATAAATATTCCTTCTGTATTCCCATGGCACCTTTCATTCACTAAGCTCCAAATTTCAGTAAAAAGGCATTCTTGATTTCTGGGTGAAAACACAGATGTGAATAATACCAGGCATGAATACTGACCCTTTTGAGTTCTTCCTCATCTGTACTTCATTTGTTGGTCTTTCTCAAACTCCTGACCCCAAAATGCCCTGGCACTTAAACAAGATGTTAACTTAAAGCAGACCAGAATACGGTGTTTATGAATATACGGACACTAACTAAATGGCCAAGTGCTCATGATGAGAAAGAGTCTCATTACAGGTTTCTGACTACATACATACCTGGGAAACCTACTTTAAAATGCCTGCATGTGCGTTTATTTAGAGAGAGGTTGGTAACTGTAGAGCTTCGTTTTCAGACTGAATGAAAAAATAATCATAGGTCAGCATTCTCCTAATTTTAGAAACAGTATTTACAAATTCAAAACATATTCTCAAATATTTTTAATAACTAGGCTTCCATTTCTGCTTTTGTCATATACAAGAGTTGCCTTTGAAAATTTCTGGAACTGAATGGGTCACACATCTTGCCCATAATATAACAAGACAAGTAAAAGTTTCTCTCGGGTGCATGTGAACAATGTTTGGTCAATTTTCCTTAGAAGAGTTTGAGTGGGAACATGCAGAGGCATAGAAGAGTTTTTCTGACATAGCAGAGCTTGTAAAAACTGGAGTATTTTACTGGCAAAATCTAATACATTATAACGTTTCCTTTAGAGATATTTAGAATATACCTGTCTGAGGCAGAGACTGAGTAAGATGGCACACCCAAACTAACTCTCAGACTGACCACTAATCCCTAAGTACTTACTGAGTACCTGTGGTACATAAAAGGAACGTGAGAGAAAATCACAGGAAGCCGTACATGAAAACTCAATATGCCTCTAAGCACCTGGCATTGTTTTGTAGCTCGTTGAGAGCTGTTGTTGGATCGGTCCCAGGCCACAGTCTGATTGATCAGACTTCTTTCCACCTTTAGCCCCAGAGCAGTGACTGTCAGCCAGCTTTGGTATGAACAGAGGTGTGCATCCAATGGTCCCACTCACACAGAGACAGCTGAACAGGGGACTGGGCTGAAAGACTTGGCCATTATGATAATGTACCCTGTTGAACTCACATCCCACAGCTATAAGATCTGAAAAGAGAGAAGAGCAAAATCACCAAAGAAGCCATAACTGATCATCCAGACTTCCAGTTATAAATCACAGAGGTAATAGCTATCTCCTTTAGGAAGTAGTGTTCTCAGCTTCTTAGGCCCCAATTGGGACTTTGTCAGAACATGTGTAAAAGGTGAAAATTAGACATTTTCATTGTATTAAAGGCTATCAGCTCCCATTGGTCACTTTCAGAGTCTAGACCAAGTCAGGATCAATATTAGTATAGCACTGAGATAATGACTGAAGTCTGAGATGGGTTGGTGGCTGGTAAGACTGAAGTTTCCCCAGATGTCCAACAACAGGCAAGGACATATGTGTAGGAAATGAAGATACATGTATGGCTGAAGAAACCATAATTTAACTACAGTATTGCACAGTGACTAATATTTTTGTCGTTAAGAGAACCGGAGGAAACTTTCACTCTTCTGAGAAGTATTCTTGACCTGGATCAATGGTTCTCAAAAGTGTGACCCCTCACACCTCTTGGCAGTATTTGAGGCCCTTTCAGAGAATCTGCAAAGTCAAAACTCTTTCAGAACACTAAGATGTGCCTGACTTTTTTAACCATGTTGGTATTGCACTGAGGGTGTAAAAGCAATAGTGGCCAAAACTGCTCTTGGAGCCTTACACTCAAACTGTATGTATAGGTTAGTCCTGTGCTTTTCCTTTCAATGCACTTGTACATAAATGTACTTCAGGAAAAAAAAGCTAGTTTTACTTAATAATGTCCTGATAACACAGTAAAAATTACTAATTGTATTAAATCTTAACCATCTAACATACGTCTTCTTAATATCCTGTGTGACAAAGTAGGAAGTATTACAGAGAGCATTTCCGTACATATTGTACCATCTTGAGGAGAAGCGCCTATTGTATTGTTTGAATTTGGGGCTGAACCAAACCACTTTTTTAGTGAGACTTTCACCTAAGGAAATGACTGACAGATAAACCATGATTACTCAGGTATTTGGCAGACATTTTCTTGAAAATCAACAGTGAGTCTGTCACTTCCAGGAAAACAAGTTTCTGGCCAATGACAGAATCCAGGCTTTCAAGCAAAAATTAGAATTTTGGAAAATCTATATTCACCACTACAATCTTTATAGCTACCCAATACGCAGACTTTTCTGATGAGACTGGTATTGATTAACGTGATTTTTATTATCATATGAAATGTATCAATATTTGGAACACCTATGTAACCTTTGTTCCAAACTAGTATTTTCCCAATAACCAGTGCATGGTATTACAAAATTATACATGAGTAAAAGACCCATTCCAACTATGTCTTGAATAGACTAATGCATTTTAATGTCACAGAGTTTGACAAGTTCATGGATACGGTTTCAGATTCCATGATGCAGCTAATTTTCAAGAAATTACCTCTTCTCAAGTTTTAATATTAAAAAGAATATTCACAATTATCTGAAAATCCTCTTAAAATATCCCCGCCTTTTCCAATGACCTATCTATATAAGGCTGAATTCCCTTCATATATTTCAACAAAAATAACATATAGCAATAGACTGGAAGCAGAAGCAGACGGGGAAATCTAGCTATCTTCTGTTCAGCTGGACATTAGAGAGATGCACAAATGTAAAACAGTTCCATTCTTCTCACTATTTTTTTCTTTGTTTTAAGAAATAAAACCTTTTCAGAAGTATATTATTCCTGTCAAGTTGCAATGGATTTGCTATTTTTAAGTGAATCCGTAAATATTTTTAAGTTTCTATCCATCTAAATACCAGTAGAGATAACTCACATAAACAAAAGCTCTTTGGGTCTTCGTTAATTTCTGAGACTAAAGGGGTCCTCAGACCAAAGTTTAAAAATCATTGGTCTGTATCATGGACTGGCAAATGTATTTATAGACCATTGGTTTTTGTCACAACTACCGGGCTCTGCTATCATAAAGCAGCCACAGACCACGAAACTGAATAGTGTGGTTGTGTTCCAATAAAATGTTATTTATAAAAACAGGCTCTGGGTGGCCTCTGGGCCATAGTTTGTAACCCATTTGAGGCCATCCCCACCCCCACCCTCATGGCTATGCTCTTAAAATATTCATCACATTCTATGTGAAATCACTTGTGGAAAGCTTTGTCTGACACAGTAAAATTGGGCTCTGTGGGGTAGGGCCTATATCTTGTTCTCGTTTTTTTTTGCTATTTTTCCAGCTGCTGGTCACAGTGCCTGGCTCATTTGTGGCTGTTCACTAAGTGCTTTTTAGGTTAAGGAAATAACTTGGCCAGCACCATTTGGGAGAAGGGAGGATCCTGATGCCAGAGTCGGACAGATGTGTTGACCTGTTGAATTTCCACAAATAATAGCTAACATTTATAAGAGTCTGCTGCCTACCAGATATTCTGCGAGGTGCTTTAGGTTTTGGGTCATTATTTCATGTGTTCCTCCTAGCATCTCTGTAAGATAGGAAGTATATATGACGTAACCAGGGCACAGAGAGGTTAAGCAACATGACCTCAAGGTCGCTCAGCATATAAAGTCCAGAATTTGAACCCAGGGCCTACATTCTTCGCCAGTATTGTTTAGTGCTGACAGAGCTGTCAGGCCATCAAACTTGAATGGCCCTACACATTCAGTCAAACTCCAAAGCTGTGCTCTTATTCCAGGCTCACAAACAAACTCCTGGTAGTAATTTGCCTGCCTACGCAGTCTTTTCTATAGACTGACTAAAATGTTCAGCTAACACGGATGTTTCTCTTCTCTTAGAAATCTTAGTGTTTAATCCTAGGTAAATCAGGATCCTGAGTTATTGTCAAGGTGTAGGTTTAGATGGTCTCCATGAGTCTCCAGAGCTGAAATCCATAAAGCTGAGGTCAGGTTTGTGATTTGGGGCACCCCTACTTTCCTTTGTGCAAATCTGCTTCTGTTAAAAAGTACAGTAACTTGATGGTCATTGGGAAAGGCGGAGATTAAAGCAGGGCGTAGGTCCTTACATTTTAAGCAAGATTATTTTTTAGTTGCAGAAAAGGCTGAATTCAGATCAAGCTTTTGACCATAGTAACAAAAGGTGTCATTTTGTGGCACTCTAAGAAGTCAGGCTCTATTCACATAGTTTCTCCTATTTTTATCACTAAAAGCAATTACCTGACAATAACTACATGATGGCTTCAGTGCAATAAACAGAACAGGTCATGTCCAATATGACAAAGCCAGTCCCACGGGTGTGTGAAAGCCAAACCCACCTCAAACCTAGCCAAACTAAGCTGATTATTCCAAACTAACAATTACAGGGGGAGGGGGTGGGAGGGAGGCTGTCGGGGCTCAACCGCGTCCCGCGGGTCCCGAAGCAGACACTTACACGCACACACTCCGGTCTCGTACCTAGGCCTGTCCGCCGAGTAGTCACAGTACAGCCCTTTGTGCGGGTCGCAGAGGTCGGCCTCATTGCAGACGTCCCCTGCCTGTTTGGCACAGGTCCAACAGCATCCACAGCCGTCCCGCAGCAGGCTCACTCCGGGGGGGCAGCGGGGCTTCGGGCGCGGGCACTCACAGGGCCAGTGACAGAGCTGCTTCCGCGGGCGCGCCTCCGCCGCGTCCGCAGGCCTCCCCTCAGGCGGCGCGGCCCCGCGGCACAACTGCGGCGGGTAACACAGGCGCCGTTAGAAGCCGTCCCTCAACCCAATTTCAGAGATTTCTAGAAACAGAAGGCTTCCCCTGAACTGGCAGAGTACAGCGTGGAGAGTTGGAGTACCCATCGGGAACCGTCACCATCCCCCTCTCCGTAAACTCTCTCCACTCGGCTTCCCACACGTCACTCTTGCTTCTTCCCCCTGCCTCCTCACTCACTGCTCCGGCTCCTTCTGCTCCGCCTCTTTCTTCGCTCTGCGCCTCTAACGGAGCCCCCTGAGGCGAACGCGTCGGAAGGCTCCTGCCTCACTGAACCGCCTGTCCCCCACCAGCCCTGTCCTCGGAGCCCAGACGCGAACTGCGCGTCTCCGCTCGGACGTCTGACAGGCACAGCGAGCTCAGCGTGACCGGAACGAGCTCCCGGTTTCCCTTCCAGTCTCCTCTTCCGTGCGCGTCCCTGCTGAACTCAGGCCAGTTGCACTTTTGCAGAATTGTCTTGGGGTCAGGTCATTCTTGACTTATCTCTCACATGTTCTATCCAATCCTGTCAGTAAATCCTGCTGATTAGATCTTTAAAATGTCCCCAACGCCAATCATTTCTGAACACCCGCAAGCCACCATTATTTCTCACTTTAGATGTTGATAATAGTCTCCTAAAGGTTCTCTCCTGGGTTCCCCCTTTGTCTTCTAGATTCTCCACTCGGCACAATGGTTAAAATAAAATAAGCTACAGTGCCTATAGCTAACGGTACTGTATTATGTACTTAAAATTTGCTAAAACAGTAGATCCTATTTAAATGTTCTTACCACACACGCGCGCGCGCGCACACACACACACACACACACACACACACACAATAATAGAAGGGGCAGGAGAAAACTTTGAGAGGTGAAGGGTATGTTTAGGGCTTTGGTAGTGGTGATGTTTTAATGAGTATATACATATCCTGGAGCTCATCAAATGGTATACATTTAATATATGTATCTTTTTACAGTCATACTTTAATTCATGTCACTCCTTGCTTATAAGAGGTGGCGTCCTCATGGCTTCACATTTCAGCGTAAAAGCGAAATGATCCTCTAAGGCCCTGCAACATCGGGTCCACACTGGCCTCCTCATTCTTTAAATACTCCAAGCACGCTGCTCCCGCAGGTATCTCTGCGGCTCACTCTTTCAGTTGCTAAGGTCTATGCTCAAATTGAGGCTCTTCCTGAGCACCTTTATAAAATAGCACCCTGCCCCAGCCATTTCCCCACAGACCTCCTTACCACCTATCTTATTTCTATATATTCTACTTTATTTTCTGAGTCACGCATCAAGAATGTGAGCCTGAAAAGGCGAGCTCTTTGCAGAGTGTCGTATTGCCTGTGATAAAGTGTACTGGATGAAAGAACCTGGCACCTCCTCTGTGCCAAGTGCCTTGTACAACTGTCATTTAGCCTCCACGAGAAGAGTAGGGAGCAGCTGTTACCCACATGTGGTAGGCCCAAAAACTCTTCCTTCCAGATGCCCATGTTCTTTTTTTTTTTTTTTTTTTTTTATTTTATTTTTTTAAATGTTTTTATTTATCTCTAGGAGAGAGAAAGAGAGACAGCGTGAGCAGGGGAGGGTCAGAGAGAGAGGGAGTCACAGACTCTGAAACAGGCTCCAGGCTCCGAGCTGGCAGTCAGCACAGAGCCCGACGCGGGGCTCGAACCCACGAACTGTGAGATCATGACCTAAGCGAAAGTCGGACGCTTAACCGACTAAGCCACCCAGGCGCCCCCAGATGCCCATGTTCTAATCCCCAGAACCTGTTAATAGATTACCTTACAGAGCGAAGGGGATTTTGCAGAGGCAGTTGAAGGCCTTGAGATGAGAGTATCCTGGATTAACCAGGTGGACCCAATGTGACCACAAGTATCCTTCACTGGGAGAGAGGCAGGAATGTCAGAGCAGATGAGATGATAGAAGCAGAGGCAGGTGTGGTGTCACAGCTGAAAGGCGGTCATGAACCAGGAGTGCAGGAGCCTTTAAAAGCGGCAGAAAGCAGGGGCGCCTGCTGGGTGGGCGTTAGACTCAGCTCAGCTCGTGATCTCACAGCTCGTGAGTTTGAGCCCCGCGTTGGGCTCTGTGCTGACAGCTCAGAGCCTGGAGCCTGCCTCTCTCTCTCTCTCTCTGCCCCTTTCCCACTCATTCTGTCTCTCTCTCAAGAAGAAGAAGAAAGAAGAAAGCTGCAGAAAGCAGGGGTGCCTGGGTGGCTCAGTTGGTTGAGCATCTGACTTTAGCTCAGGTCATGATTCTAAAAGCTCATGGGTTTGAGCCCCATGAAGGGCTCTGCACTGATAGGTTGGGGTCTGCTTGGGATTCTGTCTCCCTCTCTGTCTGCCCCTCCCCTGCTCACCTTCTCTCTCTCAAAATAAGTAAATAAACTTTTTAAAAAGCTGCAAAAGGCAAAGAACAGATTCTCCCCTAGACTCTCCAGAAGGAAGAGCCCTGCCGACACTTGATTTTTAGCCCCATAAGACCCATTTTCACACTACAGACAGCCAGAACTGTGAAATAATTTTTGTTGTTTTAAGCCACGAAACTTGTGGTAATTAGTGACAGTAACAAGAGGAAACACCCCATTTCATAAACGAGGCCACTGAACCTCACATTGTTTCACCTGTCCTAGGTCATACATCAAGTGGTAGAAGGGGGAGTTAAACCAGACAGGCAGATTTCAGAGCCTGAGCTCTCAGCCCCATCCTTCACTGTTGGTTCCTTCCTTCGTCCGGGTCTCTCCACAAACCAGCTTTGATACTAAACCACCTAATCTCTGCATCTGTCTCTCCTCTCCAGCCGAGGCCTCTCCCCCTAAGCTTACAACTCCTTAACTTCCACTGGGGACAGCCACTTTGATATCCCATAAGGATCTCGGTTTCTCCTTCCCAGCAACAGCCTGCTCCTCACCTTCTAGTTCTCTTTTTAGTGAATGGTGGGGCCAGCCGCTGAGTTCCCCAAGCCAGGAAGCTGAAAATGGACCTCACCTGCTCCCCTCCTTCATCCTGCACACCTGAAAGTTACTTCTAGGAAAGTCCAAGCTACTGGGCACAGCATTCAGGGCCCTCCTCATCTCTCGCAGTCCTAACATCCGTTAGGTTCTAGCAAGTTCAAGTGGCTGCAGTTCCCTACATATCCGATGCTGTTCCATCCGGCTCGAACATTCTTCACTGGCCCCCAGTCCTTCATCCAGCTCTGTTTAGGTATCGCCTTTTCCAGAAAACTTCTTCCAACTTCTCGCCCGCTCCCTTTTACGTGTCCTTGTAGTGAAATTATCTGTGTAAGTGCCTGTCTTCTCCACCTGCTTAAAGCTACCCATCCTCGGGGACCTATGGTTCATTTGTGGTATGTTATTGGCAGCTAGCACTGTGCCTGGCAAGTAATTTCTGTAATTAACCCTCAATTTTTGTTTGATAGCCTGAAGGCACTTGCCCTGATCCAGAAATCCAAGCCTCTTTGCAACTCAAAACTCCTACACTTAAAAGTAGGAATTTGAAATTCCATTACAACCTCAGCCTTTTTTTTTTTTTTTCCTTATCACTTATAAAGTGTGTTCCCCAGAGAAACGCTTTCTACTACAATTCAAGCTGAAGAGACCGTGTGAGGATAGACTTTGAGAATAAGCTGTGCTGGGATTCTGGAGGAGGTGGAGGGGACTGGAAATACAAAAGTGGAGAAGGAAGTAGAAATAGCATCTACTTAATTTTTCCTTGGTTCAGCCGTGGTTACCGGGGCCTTCCTGCTGGATTCAGTGGCCTCCCAGCTGGGCTCCTGTTCATGGAAAACTCCCTATTTTCCTCTTGCCCTCTCTAAGGTGTTTGACTTTTTTTTGATGTTTATTTATTTATTTTGGAGAGGGAGGGAGAGACAGCACATGAGTGTGGTCAGTGTGGAGCCAGATGTGGAGCTTGATCCCATGAATCGTGAGATCATGACCTGAGCTGAAATCAAAAGTCGGATGGATGCTTAACCAACTGAGCGACCCAGGCGCCTCCTGTTTGACTCTTAATCCTCTCCTCTCCCCTGGCTTTCGTGACACCAGACCCTCCCAGTTCTACCCCTGCCTCAACAGACTTTCTCACTCTCCTATGCAGACTCCTGTTACCCAGAATCTGACTTCCATTTAGACTAATTGGTGTTTCATGACCTTACTGTATTGCTTTTCTCACTCTGCCCAGTCTCTTGGCAATTTCATCTACCCCCTTGCCTTCCATTTCCACCCTGTGCAAGCTTCAACACTAAATCTCCATCCAGGAGTTCTCCACCAATCGCTAAAGCCACATAGCTGACCACCTACCCGGCAGCCCCACTAGAATGTCCCATTCCCAAAACTCCTCGCCCCTCCACCCCACCCCCCTTTGGAGAGCTTCTCCAAAGTTTGGATTTAGGATGCCAGGCGTCATCCTGGTCATCGTTGTCTCCCATGCTTCCCATGGCCATTCAGTGACTCCTGTTTCTTGTCCGCCTATCCTAGAACTAGCCACTCCATTCCCTTTTGCGTGGCTACTGAGTACTACTGCCATAACTTCCCAACTGGCCTTCCTCCCTCAATGACCCCTCAAATGAATCTACCATATTTCTGCTGGAGGGCTCTCTTCAGAAAACCTATCTGATTCTACTGCCCCTCCCTTTAAAACAGATCAGTGGTTCCCTACTGATACAGTATATAGTCCAAAACTCTGAGCATGCTATCTACAGCCTGTGCTGGTTCATGCTGGAATTCCTCTCCAGCCTCTGCTTTCAATGCTCTCTCCTCCTGCACCCTACTGCTTACTAGACTCACCAGGTCACTTTCCTCCTCCATGCTTTTCCTCATATTGCCTCCTTTTAAGGAAATGCCTACTCCCCAACCTGCCCACCTGGAGACACCTGTTTTAATTTACAGTCTTGAAGCATTTCTATATAATCTCTGAGGCCACAAGGTAACTGTTGAAAACCAAGGTAAAGAGAAAACCTTGAAAGTGTACTGAGAAAAGAGAAGCATGACATACAAGAGAATAACAATGAGAACTGACTTCCCATCCAAAGGAGACCCAGATACTCTTCAGTAGGTGCCTTGGATAAGCTGTGATACAGACAACGGAATATTATTCAGTACTAACAAGACATGAGCTGTCAATCCATGAAAAGACACATATTACAAAGTGAAAGAAGCCCATCTGAGGGACGCCTGGGTGGCTTAGTTGGTTAAGCGTAGGACTTCGGCTCAGGTCATGATCTCACAGTTCGTGAGTTTGAGCCCTGTGTAGGGCTCTGTGCTGACTGCTTAGAGCCTGGAGACTGCTTGGGATTCTGTGTCTCCTTCTCTCTCTCTCTGCCCCTCCCCCACTCATGGTCTGTCTCTCAAGAATGAATAAACATTAAAAAAATTTTTTTTAGGGGCGCCTGAGTGGCTTAGTCGGTTAATCGTCCGACTTTCGATTAGGTCATGATCTCGCGGTTTGTGGGTTCGAGCCCCGCGTGGGGCTCTGTGCTGACTGCCAGCTCAGAGCCTGGAGCCTCTTTCAGTCTGTGACTCTCTCTCTGACCCTCCCCTGCTCACGCTGTCTCTCTCTCTCTCTCTCCTAGAAATTAAAAAAAAAAAATTTTTTTAAACCCCATCTGAAAAGTCTACAGACAGTATGATTCCAACTATATGACATTCTGGAGAAGGGCAAAACTATGGAGACAGTAAAAAGATTGCTAGATGCCAGAGATTGGGGGAAGGGGTGGAGCACAGAGGATTTTTAAGGCAGCAATAATCCTCTTATGATACTGTAATGGTGGATACATGTCATTATACAGTTGTGCAAACTCGTAGGATGCACACTACCAAACACGAAACCCCCACGGTAAACTATGGGCTTTAGGTAATACTGATATATCTATGTAGGTTCATCACTTATAACCAATGCACCATTCTAGCGGAAGATGTTAATAAGGGGGGAGACCGTGCATTTATATGAAATGGTGGTATACAGGAAATCTCTTCACCTTCCTCTCAAATTTGCTGTGACCTTAAAGCTGCTCTGAAAAAAAAAAATTAAGTCTTTTAAAAAAGGGAAGGGGGAGGAAGAGAAAACCCAATATGCTGAAAGGAAAAACAAAAAAACAACTGTCAACCTTGTGTTCTAATTCCAGTGAAACCATTTTTCAAAAGGGAAGGTGAAATTACAGGCATTTCCAGTTAAACAAAAACAAATTGTTGTTGGCATACCTGCCTCACAAAAAATATCAAAGGAGGATCTTCGGTCTAATGAAAAAATACAATATTTAGTAATTCAGAAATAAAGAAATGAAGAGTCCCAGAAAGAGCAAATACTTGGGAAGTATAAAGAACTAGGTTGTTTTTTTTTTCTTCAGACATTTTGATTGTTTTCAAAACCAAAATCTTGGAACATCAAGAGTCTGTAGACTTCTTGCTGCAACAGAAAAGAAATGCAACGGAACTCTTGTGGTGCACCAAAATAGGCTCTTTTGGGGTTTTGACACCAGAGCTGAGGTTTGGCACAGCTCTGTGAGCTTAGGTGACTGTCATTTATTTGCTCTTTAAGCCTCAATCCTCCTCTGTAAAATGGGTTTCATAATAATCCACCTCATAAGGCTCTTTTGAGGATTAAGGTAATGACTAAAGTACCTAGCACGGTGCTTGGCATGTAGTAGAGGTTCAGCAAGTGATAGGTTTTATTCCTCAACAATTCATCACGGCAAAACTAAGCAAAATAACACTTTCCTGTTGCCGTCTCTTAACACCTGTCTGTGTTTTTGTTTATTTTGGACACATTTCTGTCTGTTGGAGTACTGTTCAATCCACAACAACAATAATGGGCCTTTACTCAAGAAGGGAGACCGCTTCCGCTCACCTCCCTTGGGGAAACATGCCCCTCTACACAGCAGTGCAGATCAACCACACCACTGGTGTTCTTGTCAGCATTCTTCTACAGTCTTAAATCTCTCTGTGTACAGTAGCACACATTTCAGTCTCGTGCTTCCTACAACACAACTGACCTCCCTACTCCGCTAACTCAGACACGTCCATGTTTCCTGAATCACCAGAAGGTTTCAAAAGCTCTGTCCTCTGTGCAAGCCATAAACTCCACCGTGTAAATAAATCCCCATACCCAAGGCACCCTGTTTTCATCTTCTTAAAAAATACCAAGGCAACGAATTGCTCCTCTTAAATTTCCCTTTGGTCTGTTGCTTGAAACTATTTCAAAGTCTTCATGGACCACTTCCTTCTCAGGCAAAGTGAGAAACACATGAGTGGAGAAGAGACAAAGTAACAGAATGTTTTAAAAATAGAAATGTTTATCTGAAGTGCTCCTTTCAAACAAGGACAAGCTTAACTGAAGGAAGTGGTCGGAATCACTTTTTCCAGTGGCTCTCTGCACATCTCGCACACAGCCACGGAAAGTTGAGCCCCAGCCTGGAGCCCAGATGAAGGGGCAACTGTTCATTCCGGCTGCCTCCCGACTCCACGGTGTGTGTGTGTCGTACTCCACTAAAAAGTATACATTATTCAAGCCTGGGAGCCGTTCAAACATAGCGCAAGTAGGATTCGGTGCCATTTACCTGAAAGCGAGAGATGTTTTCCACTTCCTTCCTGAAGCTTCTAAACTAAAACCCAACTTTTATTTGGAGAGGAAAATGGCTCCCTGTTTGGCATGAAGTCTTTCCACAAGGAATTTATCCCCCCTCTTCCCCCATCTTCTTCCTTTTTAATTTCTGACCTGAAGAAATCTGAAACTGGGGTAGTCTCCTGAGGGGCAGCGCTGAGGAGAGGGAGCTTACCTGTGCCAGAGCGGCTCCGAGGAGTGTGGAGAGCAGGAGCCCCCGCATGTTCCCCAGGAAGCAGCAGCAGGAGGATGGGAGGCACCGGGCCCCACACAAAGCTGCCCTCTGTCTCCTCAGCAGGACACACACGCCTCCAGCCCCCACGCCACCGACCTTGTGCTCACACTCTCAGCCCGGCTTTAGCTCTCACGGATCTGCTTTAATACCCTGTTTTCTTTCCTGCTATGACTCTCCTCCTATTTACCTTCGCAAGGGTGTGGAGTGTGTCAGGAGGGTGTGAGCGCTCTCCTGGGGACTCAGAAGGGTAAGTCAGGTGGTAACTTTTCCTTGAGTAACTGTTTCACCAGTTCCCAGAGATCAGAGTCTGCCCTAGGGCTAAATGGTAAAGCAGACACAGTCACCTTCCTCACCCTCAGCCCCCTAGGCTGGCCCTGCCCCAGACTCTCGCAGGGCCCTTTCCCTCCCAGACCCTGGAGCACAGAGTGCTGGCCTGGTCTTTGCCCACAGCCTGCTCTGGAGTTTTCCCCGGACAGCCAAAGGCCTTCCCTGCCTCCCCTCCCCCGCCCAGCTCCTGATTCTCCCTCAGATGCCCTCACGGTGCCCCGCACTTCCCTCCATCCCAGCACATTCCTCACACCAGCTGGCTCAGGACTGGATAAAATGGAGCTGGAATATGGGTGCACCTAGAGTATCTGGCCTGAGAGAAGAACCTCTCTCTGGCCACAGCCCCACAACAGATGAAGTAAAGCTAACCCCAATCTTCTTGGGCTAAGATAAAACAATATGCCACTAGCAAGCATTTCACAAATGAAGATTGCCGGAGACCAAAACTGCACAGGTCATCCCTGATGGCAAGGCCCAGGGCAGAGACTGCAGTGCAGTCAGAAGAACCCCCGGAAGAATTCTTCTTCTCTACTTTGTCTGTACCTTTTACTCTCACTTCTGCTATTAGTCTATTCTAGGGTTAATATGAAACCAGAATTGCCCCCAAGTTCCCCTCTTCCTCCAAAATGGAATGTACCTAAATATCATGTCCACCCCCTCAATCAGATGTTGTCTAATGAATATTGTAGCAATTAGCAAAATTGGAGACAGTCCGGTATACGCTGGGTCTATAAGAGACCTAGAATTCATTTTCCTTGTATGGGTCTAATTGCCAGTAAGAATACATATTATGCTATAAGCAGAGACAAAAACAAGACTTACTAGTTTTGGAGGACTTTCTCAGAAAAGCATTAGAGAAATATTTGCCTGCTGACCTCAAGCCTGTAAGGTAACTTATGGATTGTTCTGGCCAGAGAATGAGATCGGTAAATGGAGAGATGAAATTCTAGTTGATTCACGTAAAACATTTCCATACGTCATCTATGATAAATGTTGACATTGTTCTTTCTTAGTAAGGGGTTGTGAGAGTCTGTTACCTACAACCGCGGGTACAAGTATATCCTGTTTTTGCATGCCCACTGAATTTAAACAATTAAAGGGCACTGTGATCTCCTGTATTCTGGCAATATGCTCCACTTATCCTTAGATACCCTGCCATACGTAGTAAAGAATATATAAAACTTTGTTATGACCATCTGGTTAAATCTTATTGGTTGAAGTGGAAATCATGTACCGTGAAGTCACTGTAGCCAAGAAAACTTAGAAATGTTAAGTCCTATGACTGTACTCAAAAAATGTAAATTGTTTAAGCATGATTGTTTGAATTTGCTGTATAAAAACCCTAAGCTGAAAAATAAATTTGAGCAGTCCACCTGAAGAGGCTGGCTCTGTGTCTTCTTTCGCCGACGCTAACCATCACTCTCCAGGCCAACCCTGGCTTACAGAGGCTGGACCCCTGCAGAAGATTGACAAAAAAAAATTTACTACAGGTCTGTACCCCTTCTCCTTCTAAATCTCACCTCTGAGGTGTGTGTGGCCACCAGCCCATCTCCTCCTGTGTTAGTTGTATGTGACTGAAGAGCCAAAAATTAAGTCCTCCATTAAGAGCAACCTCGGGCTGCACGTAGCCCCAGTCCCAGTTCCAGGAAAAGCCTCAGATTTTTCAAGGCTAAAGCCATCCTCGGACCGCCCTCAGTTCAGCTTAAAAAAAAAAAAGAAGAAGAAGAAACACTCCTATGGTCTGAGTCAAGGCTGGGAACTGCAGATACAAACTAGCCAATTTCTCCCCGCTTGCCTGAACCCCATGTGGGCCCTTTGAACTCACCTCATCATTGGTCATTTTCAAAGGAGTCTCAAAAGTCATGATTGGGTCCCACCAAAAGTAATGAACACCTCACAGACACTGAATGGTCGAAGCTGTTACCAGGGGTGCTGTACAATTGTAACTGGTGCTTATGTGATGATGCTACATGTACTGTAACACCCCCATCCCTTACTCCTTAAAAACCCTGTTTGCTATTGTTCTTGGCTTCACCTTCTGCCCCGACACCGGTAGGCTGGTGAGCCCCTGCTCGAGCTTGTAATAAAGACCCTTTTGTATTTGCATCTGTGCCGGCTCCTTGGAGGTCTCTGGGACTCGCGATTCGGGCACAACATGACCTTTGTTCATCCCATTCATCCCACTTTCTCAGCCTTGGTCTTGGCTTAGGCATCTCCATGTGCCTCTGCATTGGGGCTTTGTCTTCCTTTGGATCCCGTATCTGGTCCACCATCCTGCCCCCATCCTGGGGCCTATTTCTATTCTTTTTGACCCTTTACACACTCTATCTTTTGTTACTCTGCCTCTCCCAGGTTCTCTGCTCACCTTGGTTTCGTTCAAGCAGCCGCAGCTATATAAAGACTGTAGGGGCGCCTGAGTGGCTCAGTTGGTTGAGCATCTGACTTCAGCTCAGGTCATGATCTTGTTCGTGGGTTCAAGCCTCTTGTCAGGCTCTGTGCTGACAGCTCAGACTGGAGCCTGCTTCAGATTCTGTCTCCCTCTCCACCACTCACTCACTCACTCACTGTGTGTGTGTGTGTGTGTGTGTGTGTCTCAAAAATAAAAACATAAAAAAAAGACACAGGAAGTAAAGCCTAGTGCCGAGGGGCTGGGGAAAATCTGGGCTCTCTGCCAGCCACAGGGGATCTGGGCTCTTCAGAGAGCCAGGGACTCCATACGGTACAAACAAACTCTACACAGATTACTAAATTAGTCAATTAAACCACAATTATATCACACCAAACTGCAAGGAATATCCAGTGTGGTTGTGATGTCAATTCCTTCTGTTTCCTCCCTAAGAAATAGAAAACCTGCGAATGGCCTAGTAAGGGAAAATGTATCTGTTTTGATCCAATCCAATCTATTTCTTCTATCTTTCTGGCTTAATACTGTTTGATCTTTGGGTCCCAGCCTCAGTGATTCATGTCCCACACTGGCCATCAGAATGGATTGCTTCTCCTCTCCTAGCTGGTCCATCCCAAGCAGAGGAGCCCTGGCTGAGGACTAGTGTACTAGTCAATTCCATCCCTCCTGCTCCAACCCCCCTCCCCCCCACCCCATTCTGAATGTGGTGCTGCCCATATCTGTGTATGCTCCTCCCTTTCACTCTGAAATTCTGAGAGCAGCTGCCATCTTTCTGGAACGGTCTTCCCTCCGTCTGTACTCCCTCTGCACAGGGCAGGGGAAGGTGTCATTCTCACTATCCTTGCCTCTTAGGAGGAAAGCAACTCTTGGCTGAGAACCAACATTAAGCCCCCTCCCTCACTGAAGTGTACAGACTGATTGGTTCAGGGTTACTCAGTCACACGTTTACACGTCTCCAGCCATGGGGATGCTCCTAGTTAACTACTGCAAGCCTATTACAGATGGATTAGGTGAATATGGTATTTTTAGAGCCTGGGCTGCCATCTTTAATAAGCCTATCATGGGGTGCATCCTGTACTAAGCATGTTCCTTTATTATCTCATTTAACAAAATGCTCATCTGTCCAGGAGCACAAGTGTTCGGCGTGTGATGTGCATTCAAACAGACGTGGTGCTGAGCATAGCTAATATTTGCATCCTGTTTTAAGATTTATAAGGAAGTTTCACATTATTATCTTTATTAATTTCACAGCTCAATGAGGTAGGCAAAAGCAGTATTAACCTTCCTCATTAAACATATTAAAAACTTGAAGTTAAGTGATTGTACTTGGTCAATAAAACACACTTAATCCCTGCCCTCTAGAGCTATATATAATCTACCTGGAGAGCGGTCACTAAACATACATGCAAAGTATCCATAACTAAAAACTGAGTAAAGGCTAATAATAAAGAACAAGAAAGTTTAAGAAAGCATGACAGGGAGGAGGTAATTGAGATCAGGGAGCAGAGAGGACATCTCTGAGGAAATGGCACTTATAGAATTGAGAGATGAAGCCCGCTGCAGAGCTGGGGAAGACTCCTGCTCCAGGGCTCCTTCCATTGGCAAAATGCACGCCTCTGACGGTGATAAGCTCCATCTGCTAAGACCACAGCCCACTGCCCTTCCCATTAGGTTCCCAAAATTCTGCTATCAGGAGCATCATCACAGCTAGAATATTCCCTTCTCCCGGAACGACCAGCCACTTAGACAGGCAAAGGTCCAAACCCACACCTTCTTTTCTCCTCTCGTGTGTGTTGTGGGAGGGAGACACCATTGGTAGAAGAACACGCTGAACGTGTGCTATGAGGGGGGGCCTGCGTTACCATCGGGGAAGCTGGAGATGGAATATAAGAGCTAACAGGAGTGCTCAGGGGCCCCTTCATTGAGCTGGCATCTGTGTATGTACTGACTGGTCTGAGGCTCAAGGCAACGCCGCAGGATGGGTACATCTTTCGTGTCACTTATGAGGAACCCACCAGGCCAGGCCACATGGAGAGCCAGGAGAACCAAGATTCCAAGCATGTGCTCCCTATGCTCTTCTACCTCTCTGCATGGCCTATAAATTTCAGAATAATCTGTAGCAGGATGATTCCTTGGGACAGTCTTGTTCTGTGTTTTTCTTCTTCCTGTTCCTGTCTCCAAACTCCAGAAGTTAATGAGGCCTTTTAAATGTCTCTGGTCCATCCTCCAAGCAGAAAATGGAAGCCACTGGGATGCT